GAAAAAAAAAAAAAAAACAAACCAAAAAAAACCACACCAACTCAACTGATTTAATCTTGGGTTTTGCAGGCGCGCGTGGGCCACCATCGGGCTTTCTCAAAGGAGGAAGCTCGCGTCCATATTCCGCAATCAAACGGCATTGTGGGGAATGTAGTGCAGATACTTAGCCGGTTCAGCTTTAGCTGCTGGAAGACACCCCACCCACCCCACCCCCCATCTAAAGCATTCCTCAGTCTTGTAGCACTTAACACTTTTTATGTGTCATTCTCATCTGTACTAGCTGGAGAAAATCAAGACAAGTTACCTTTCTACTGAGAAATTCTCTCACCAGGGATGCAGCCACTTCTTCCACAAAGGAGTTGTCCATTTTTAGCCCAAAGTGTGCTTAGGGGGCTTATTCTTTATTTCCTCTAACAAATCATTCGAGTCTGCCGGCATCGCAGCTCCTCGGGGCGGCTTTGAACGCCCGCAGGCCTGCAGCGGCGGCAGGGCAGGGCTGGGCTGGGCGCAGCACGGCTGCTGGAGGGATGTTGCTGTGGAGACCATGTCATCGGAAGCAGGGAGAACTCCTCCCCCTGGGAAGGAACCCCAGCGGAGGCTTAAAACTGGAAGAGCTCGTGGTGTGACACTGCAACAACCATCTCGGTAATTGCTTTAAGCAATAAAATTTGAGAAAGAAACCTTCAAATGTGAGAGAGGGGACAGGGTTTTGGGTTTTGATTTTGTTTTTAAGAAATGTAGTTATTTGCAACCTATTACTCCTTGCTAACGCAACTTTTAACCATACATGTTTCTTTAGTAAAATTGCACTCTTGTATAAAAGAAACAAAAAATACAGCTGCGAAATTAAGCTTAATTTCTCATACTGGCAACGTCTAGGGTAGGAGCATTCTTCAGTTTAATCTCTGCTTTCAGATTGCACCTACATTTGCCAGTAATAAAATATGCTAATGTGAGGGATTGTGGTGAGTAACACTTTGGGCCTGGGGATCTGAATTTGGTTGGAGAGGTCATATAGCAGAGAACCCTGCTCAAAGGAGGGTATTTTCTCAGGATGGAGATTCTGCAGCGTGGGCAACCTCTTCCAATATTTGACCACTCCTGGGTGGGTAAACTGTTTTCTTTAGCTAGCTAAAATTTCCACTGCTATAGCTTCCAACTATTTCACCTTATTAACCATGCCCTCTGAGATGAGTCCAACTCCATCTTTCCTTTAACCCACATACAATAGTTGTATATAGCATCTAGACTCTCACCTGGTCTTTTTTCTATTTAGGCTGAGCAGACACTGCCCTCTCAGTTGCTCCTTGCATCTTGTGTGCTTCAGCCCCTTAATTGCCTTACTGGTGCCTTGTTGTACTTGGTCCACTTCATTCATTTCCCTCTTGCACTGAGTAGTGGGTTAAGGAAAATAAAACATGGTATTCCATAGGTGGCCTCAGGAGTGCTTCACAGAGGGGCCTTTATGCTTTTACTAGTGTATTCCAGTATGTGGTTAGGTGCCTTTGCTGCAAGTGCATCCTACTGACTCATTTTCAGCTTGTCTACTTGCTCTCCAGGATCCTTTTCTGAAAAGTTGCTTTCTTGTATAACCAACCTTTAGGCTATATTTTTGAGAGGGTTTATTTCATTCTTATTGCAGGACTTTGCATTTGACCTTCACATCACCCTCCAGTTTTTCCATATGTGTGTGTAGCAGATCAAGCAGAGCACCCATCCCTCTTCATTGACTTGTCTATCCAGCACATCAAAACATTATTGCCAACACCCTCCAGAATTCTCTTGGGTTGGTTATGCCAGGCCACATTTCTTTTCCATGAGATGCTGAGGTGCTTAAAATCCTCCATAGGAAGCAGGACCTGGTGATGGTGAAGCTTCTTCCAGTTCTCTGAAGAAGTCATCATTTCTTCTCAATAGAACAGACTGTGGCTCTTTTGATGACCTTCGTTTTGGTCCTGACCTATAAGCTCTTGACTGCTCCCATCATTTGTTGCATAGATCTCTGCATTCAGGTCACTGCCTTGCATACAGCACAGTTCTCCCCTCTCTTCCCCGCTTCTCTTTTCTTGAAATCCTGTATCTCTGCAGTCAAGTGAGCTATTTTTACCTACTTCCAGACCTGGTGTTTTGCTTACTTATGGGTCAGCTTTGTGTCCAGGGGTATCAAATTGTATACCTGCAAGACCAAGTAGCTGGTTTTTGTATCATTTTACTTGGTAGGATATCAGCTGAAATCTCAGCCTTAAGTCTGCCACACATGCATGTGGGCTCTCTGACTGACAAAGGGGTGGAATGTGACTCACTGAATGTAGAAGAATGGTCTGTCGAGATGGGTCAGGGTGATGTGCCCATGAAGCTCAGAACAGTTCAAAGTAGCAGACTTTATCTCAACACAAAGGAAACCAGAAGGTAGACTTTGTTTTGGATAAACAGCTATCAACAGCTGAGTGGATTATCTGGTGGTGTACATGTTTCTCCCTGACTTCAATAAAAGAGTGTGAATGTCTCCTTGAGTTAGCCAGACCAGCTTTTGATACCTTTCTTTCCTTACAAGAGAGGTAAGAGTTCAGTTCCTAGAAGTTATTTTTCCCAAGCTGAAATGTTAGTGCCAGGCATGCCCTCTGGCGCCCATAGGTCGGTCTTGCAACACTGAGAAAAGTTCGTGTCGATGCAGCTACTGACTTCGGTACAGAGAGGTGACTTTAGTACCCTCTGTACCATCTCGTTGTTGCTGTTGCTGTCCATTGCACTAATAGTGTTCTCAAGGTTTCATTTAATGCTTACTAGTAAAAGTAGATCGATTATAACCTGGCAAAGAGTTTACGTGAGGTGGTGATGCAGGGATTGATTTTCCCAGAAGTAGCTCTTCAGGTGCTCCTAACAGCGGGTATTCACATGTTCTGTCTTGCAAGGACACAGAAAGAAACCTCAGCCAGGATACAAACAGAAAGAAATCAGGAAACTTCATTTCACAGCTAGGGAATTTTTACTATTAAGGTATGCCAAAGAATAGTGGGCTTCTGAAACAGAGTTTCTGTAAAAGCCTTCTTATAATACTGATTTTATGAGCTTTACCTTTATCACTAACTAATCTACATGAGGTGTCTTATTCTTAGTTTGTCCACTGTGGTGGTTAGAGTAGACCTAACTGTTAGGCGGACTGGGTAGTTGTTGAGCACGTGGGACAGTGTCTCTCCAGTATCCACATGCATTAAGAAGTATTCATCAGGCAGAGTTAGGTCTAAAGCATTTGCCACTTTGGCATGTGACAGATCTCTCAACATAGCCCCACTGTAAAATTAGGTACCAATGTCATGCTCCACCTCCCTGCAGCCCAAGACAAGCACCCCTGGGATCATGGGGTGCCTCAGCTGAATAAGGTTGCATCAGGCACAGGCAGCGGGAAAAGGGATGTGCTATAATAACATAAGAAAATTCAATATGAAGTCCTATGAAAAGTGATTTTTTTAGTATGCAAAATCTGTCTTGCTTTACGTACTTGTTCTGCTACTTACTTTGTTACCCACATACTCAGAAGCACCAAAACCTGTATGTTCAAGCGGTCTGAGCAAGTTCCACCATGGAGGGCTAAGGGACACTGGCTGTGAGGCCCTCACTCTGTCTTTTGGGTTCCTCTTGATCATCAGCGATAGGAGTTGGAGGGCACCTACTGGGGATGCGTATTTTATGCTCAGCTTGAGCACAGTTGGGAGAACGTTTAATTAGAAGCTTCAGATGTCAGAAGCTTCCCAATGTCAGAGAACATCAAGAGCAGATCTGCTCTACAGAGGAAGATGAGCTGGGTGTCAAGGGTTACCACATCATGGGTTAAGGGGTGGTGACATCACCAGCAAGGGTGGAGTCCCATGTTGCTTGAGCAGGGCAGATCTATCTGGAAAATGCACTATTTATAGACAAACACTGGGAAATCCTGTTTCCAAATGCTGTATTAATGAAAAACAATTTCTTAAAAGCATTGGCTAGACTGTTTCTACTGTGTTTCTCCAAATTTACTGCCAAGTCTGGAGTACAGTAGCCACAGACTTTTGGATCTCAGTAACTGCATATTCTGATCATGGTAGTGATAATGCCAAGATGTTTCTCTGCAACAGCAAGACAAGCTGTCATCCCTAGTGTTACCAGTGTAGTATCTTGTGATACCACTACTTGTGGTGTGCACTACAGTCCTGTTTGATATGAGAACAGAGTTTGGAGCTCTGCATGGCAGGTGCTCCTCAAGTTTGGGAAACACTGTGGCAGGGGAAGCAGACTATAGTTGGGGTGTTTTACTTGAGCTGGTTAGTTGTCCATCACTCTTTGACCATGATTTGAGGACTGAAGGGAAAGAAAAAAAAAAAAAACCAAAAAAAAACCAAAAAAAAAACAAAAAAAAAAAAACCCCACAATTAGAGAAAGACTTCTGTCTTCCCCTTTGTTAGTCTCATATTCTCTTTTCTTTCACCAAATGATACATGGAGTCCATAAAAATTCCTCTCATGAATAGAGGGGCAATGTAGGAGTTTGAGGCAATAAACACAGTGGTTCCTGCTCCAGCATGGTGACAACCATAGGCTGGAGTTCTTGGAGGAGCATGCCTGACCTGGCATGGTGTATTCTTTCCCCTTGAGAGTTCCCTAAACAGTTCCAGATGTTTTTTTAAATATATTTAAACTCAAATACTTCTCTGATTCGATTACGTTCTGGCACACAATGCAGTTTTCCACTGTTGTTTCATTTGTCTTAGGGCAGTCTGGAAGTGATTTTGCCTGACACACACGGGTTTGTGATGTCCTTCCCCAGAGGTCACTATTGTAGCTCACTGCTGCTTTACAGTCTTATAGGCTTCTGGTTTTAATTAATCATCAAGCTGACAAATATCACCACCTCAGATTTCAGGATCCCAGTCGGTGACAGTCATGACAGACACAGAGCTCACTGACTGATCACATAGCAGCTGGGGTTGCATGGTACATAGTTTAATTTGGCTGGTTCAGCACCACTAGCTACTGAACGTATGCAATCTAGAAACATTCTTCTGGTTAGGGGCTAAGGGAAATACTGTCAGTAACGTGAGTGACAGTTCCAGCAAACCAGCAAACGTGAGGTCTGAAAGACTTCTTAAAATATTCCTTGAACATTGTGGTATCTGTAAATATTATTTGCCAGAGTGAGTAATACACAATGAGTAGAATAGATCTGGCTTTTAAAAGGCACCTGGAGTTAGCTGATATCTTTTTTGTACAACATTTGGAATACAATAGAGTCAGATATCAATGCAAAATAATTAGAACAAATTATGTATTATGTGTGTAATTGTGCGCAATTATGTATGTGCTGCAGTTTGTTGACTCTCCTTGTTCTCTGCTCTGTGCTGTGGAGAACATAATTGCGCTTAAGCCTGATGTTTTATAAGCTGGTTTAGATGACCTTTATTTGTCTAGTTAATGTTCCTGTGTTTTTCGTAAAAATGCAGAACATTTCATTGTATGTTAAAGGAGAAGGTGAAATGTATAAAGATTTTCTGAATGTGAAATGCATAACCTTTTTGTTAAACAAAAGGCATTTTTGTAACTAGGATTTTGGAGAGTGACTTATTTGTACAGGAAAGGACT